GTGTGTGTGTGTGTGTGTGTGTGTGTGTGTGTGTGTATTAGATGGCCTACAAATTCCCTTCCAACTCTGTTAATCTGTTGATATGTAAAACCACAGAATTCAAATAAGGTGTATTTTCTTTTTTCACATGACTCTAACTGCAACCCTGGAAAGGAAACCTATTTGAAGACCTTAAGGGAAACTTCATTTCAGACATAAATAAATAAAAGCTGTCTATCCCACCTCTGAAACAGTTCCATCTTCAGATGTACATGTCACAGATGGTGGGCATAATGCTAGAAAAACCTTTTAAGCTTTGATTGGGCTGGATAAATGGGGGGAGGCGGGAAGTGTTAAGATCACAAGGAGACCAAAAATCTCTATAGAGCACAGAAATAATCTTCCATTGGTATGTTTGACCTTTTAAACCTTTGGGAAAGAAAATTCCTCTCAGCCCACATGTGGATCCTTTACACCAGCTCTCTTTCAATCTGGTAGGGCTATATATGCATTGTTCTTCGACTCACGTAATTCACAAGATTGTGTTCATTTATTTATTAAATTTGTATCACGCCCATCTCGCCATCAAGGCAGCTTAATAAACGTTCACATTTGTGAATTATGGAGAGTGGATGTCCATCAGTTTGGGGAGGCTGACTTGCATTATGGCAAGAAGCAAGTTCTTAGCAGAAGCTTTTATTCCTCCAGCTGTTTTTAGTATTCCCTGCTTTATTATGGCCTGTTTCCAAGAAAGATGTTTATGATGATAATTACATTAATCTTAAATGACGAAAATATAATAGATGACAATGTTGGGTTTTTTTAGTTAAAGAAGATGTCAGTCAAAAAGCCATGGTTTTTAAGTTTTAAAATGTTAACCTGCAACATTGAAGAACGGAGAGAGCTGCAGAAAACCTACCTTTGAATGATCATTTGGTTATACTTTATTAAAACCAAGCTTTCTAATTCTTTTTAGTGAGGTTTTAATTACAATTTGAAGTGAGCTGTATTTGTAGGAATGTCAGGTTGTCCTTTAGCTTTTAATTCCATTGGAGTGCCGTAATTATTTTGCTCTTTAAAAAAGATGCTGTTGTATAAATGGCAGAGTCTTTTTACAGTGAAGTTAATCACAGGCCTGAAGGATTCTATCCAGCTGAAAGTTACAAGACACACAGAAATCGGATATTTGTGTCTGAACACAACTGTAATTCTTAACACATGTTCGGTTGCACATGTGTATCTCATTCGGTGATTTCTTATCCCAGTATTTTGAAATCTCCTCAAAGGAAAACCTCTTAAGGTACATAAAAGTGCCTACGTATTAAAAATAAAACTTTGGTTTGATTTGCTTATAAAACCTTAAAGTAACTTAACATTTCAAATTATCACTATTTAGCCGTAGTGAGCACTCAATTCCATCGATGAGGTGGCTTAGGGGGGAAATTAATATGTAGGAAAGAAAATTCAAAGCGATATTATTTTCTCCCTCTTTGTTCCCACAATTGCTTTGAAGACTGTTTGAATTCCATGCCTCTTTTGCGGCTCTCTTCCTTCCAGCTGTTGCAGGTTTTCTGAATTTATTTGAAAGCACAATTCCTGGGTGAATTTTTCCTATTTGCCTCTATGTGTACATGTGATTTATGGCAGACACGGTATCCGACCAACAGCTCTAGAATTGGAGACCCGGGACTCTATATGCTGGGCTCCAGTGGAAAAAGAGATCTACTTATGGTGGTCCCAGGTGAAGGAGTCTGGCGGGTTCCTAGCCTGGACTGCTGGAAGGTTCCCACATCCACTTTGTCCCATTAGTTGAGATGACATGCTCTAAAAAATGTCCAGTGAGTGCAAAGATACCTATTGAAAGATTTTTTTTTTTAAGATGATAATATATGGATGCTGTTTGGGAAACCACCAATGTCATATTTATGCCTTTCAAGTTAAAGTAAGCTGTGTAGTGAGCTTTTTAAAAATGCACTTGGAGATAAGCACACGTGATTTTGATTCATGATATGATGATTCCTTGATTTTGGAACTGTTGCTGGTTAGATGTTTAAGTTTAAGTTTAAGTTTTATTTTATTTATATGCCGCCCTATTCCCT